ATAAACATAATTGACAGATAAACATTATATATATTTATAGGGTACACCATGATGTGTTTACATTTTTATACATTGTAGAACGCCTAAATCAAGCTAATTCACATATTTATCATGTATTTGTGGTAAGAACACTTAAAATCTGCTCAGCAATTTTCAGCTGTACGGATACACAGCCCTGGGATAAGCCCTCTTTGCCCTCCTCATCTGTGGGTTCTGCATCCATAGTTGCAACCAACACTGATCAAAAATATGCAGATACTTTCCACCCTTTTCTTCCTTTCCTGTACCTGTACCACGTGTTTTTTAAATCACAAGAAGTTAAAAGGAAGGAAACAAACAAAAAATGTCAACAATTACTACACACTGCTGAATCACATTGCACATTTGTTTTTTAATTTGCAGAGATCCCGTCTTGCTATGTTGCCCAGGCTGGTCTCAAACTCATGGCCTCAAGTGATCCTCCCACCTTGGCCTCTCAAAGTGGTGGAATTACAGGCATAAGTCACTGCACTCATCCAAATTGCATGTTTTTTGAAGGTGGTAAATGCAGAGTCACACATCTACCATACTATAGAAAGGTACTCAGTCATCATGGGAGTTCCCTAACACTTTCTCCAGTCCCCAGCCCTTTTAAATTCAGGTAAATACAACAGATAATTTCTTGTGAATCTTTGCAGAAATTTTTATGCATATGCCATGTATATTCATACATGAATATGTACTTTTTATTGACATTACAGGGAATATATTATATATAATACGCAGCCAAAGGAAACTTTTTTTTCATGTTTGTTTTTTCCTTTTTCAACTTTTCTTTTAGATTAGAGGGCATATGTGCAGGTTTGTTACCTGGGCATATAGTTTGGGGTATGAATGATCCCATCACCCAGGTAGTGAGCATAGTACCCAACAATTAGCTTTTCAACCCTTCCTCCACTCCCTTCCTACCCCTTGTAGTAGTTTCTAGTGTCTATTGTTGCCATCTTTATGTTCATGAGTACACAGTCTTTAGTTCCTTCTTATAAGTGAGAACATACAGTATTTGGTTTTGCATTCTTGCATTAATTGGCTTACGATAATGGCCTCCAACTCCATCCATGTAGCTGTCAATGATTTGATTTCATTTTTTATGGCTGCATAGTATTCCATGGTGCGTGTGTGTGTGTGTGTGATATATATATATATCTATCTATCTCACATTTTCTTTATCCAGTCCACTGTTGATGGACACTTAGATTGATCCCACGTCATTGTTGTTGTGAATAGTGGTGTCTTTTTGGCAGAATTATTTGTTTTATTCTCTATATATACCCAGTAGTGGGTTTGCTCAGTTAAATAGTAGTTGTTTTTAAATTCTTTGAGTAATCTCCAAATTCCTTTCCACAGTGGCTGAACTAATTTACATTCCCACCAAAAATATAGGCCAGGCACGGTGGCTCACGCCTATAATCCCAACACTTTGAGAAGCTGAGATGGATGGATCACAAGGTCAGGAGTTCGAGACCAGCCTGGCCAATATGGTAAAACCCTGTCTGTACTAAAAATGCAAAGAAAAATTAGCTGGGCGTGGTGGCACACACCTGTAATCCTAGATACTGGGGGGGGAGCTGAGGCAGGATAATTGCTTGAACCTGGGAGACAGAGGTTGCAGTGAGCCGAGATCATGCCACTGCACTCCAGCCTAGGTGATAGAGCAAGACACTGTCTCAAAAAAAAAAAAAAAAAAAAAAAGTATATAAATTTTCCCTTTTCTCCATAGCCTGGCTAACATCTGTTGTTTACTGGTTTTCTAATAATCACTATTTTGACTAATGTGAGATACATTTCTCTGATCCGTGCTGATGAGCATTTTTTCATGTGTTTGCTGGCCACTTGTATGTCTTCTTTTGAGATGTGCCTGTTCATGTCTTTTGCCCATTTTTAATGGGGTTATTTGTTTTTTGCTTATTCAATTAAGTTGCATATAGCTCCTGAATATTAGACCTTTCTCAGATGCATAGCTTACAAATATTTTCTCTCATTCTGTAGGTTGTCTGTTTACTCTGCTGATAGTTTCTTTTGGCTGATAGTTTCTTTTACTGTGCAGAAGCTCTCTAGTTTAATTAGGTCCTGCTTGTCAATTTTTGTTTTTGTTGCATTGCTTTTGGGGACTTAGTCATAAATTCCTTGCCATGGATGATGTCCAGAAGGGTATTTCCTAGGTTTTCTTCTAGGGTTCTTATAGTTTGAGGTCTTACATCTAAATCTTTAATCCACCTTGAGTTAATTTGTGTATATGGTGAAAGTTGGGGGTCTAGTTTTCATTCTTCTGCATATGGCTAGCCAGTTATCTTAGCACCATTTATTGAATAAGGAGTCCTTTCCTCATTGATTATTTTAGTCCACATTGTCAAAAATTAGATGGCTGTAGTTGTGTTACTTTAATTCAGGGTTCTCTATTCTGTTCCATTGTACCAGCATCATGTTGTTTTGGTTACGGTAGCCTTAGAGTATAGCTTGAAGTCGGATAACATGATGCCTCTAGCTTTGTTCATTTTGCCTAGGATTACTTTGGCGATTCAAGCTCTTTTATGGTCATATTTGAATTTAAGAATAATTTTTCCAATTCTGTGAAAAATGACATTGGTAGTTTGATAGGAATAGTGTTGAATCTGTAGATTGCTTTGAGCAGTATGCCCATTTTAATGATATTATTTTTTCCAATCCATGGGTGTGGAATGTTGTTCCATTTGTTCATGTTATCTATGATATTTATTTATTTATTTATTTATTTATTTAAGATGGAGTCTTGCTCTGTCGCCCAGGCTGGAGTGCACTGGCACAATCTTAGCTCACTGCAATCTCCTCCTGCCAGGTTCAAGCGATTCTCCTGCCTCAGCCTCCCGAGTAGCTGGGACTTCAGGCATGCCCTTCCGTGCCCGACTAATTTCTTTTCGTATTTTTAGTAGAGATGGGGTTTTACCATGTTAGCCAGCATGGCCTCAATCTCCGGACCTAGTGATCTGCCCACCTCGGCCTTCCGAAGTGCTGGGATTACAGGTGTAAGCCATTGACACCCGGCCCCATCTATGATTTTTTTTTTTAGCAGTGTTTTGTAATTCTGCTTGTAGAGATCTTTCACCTCCTTGGTTAGAGGTATTCCTAGGGGTGTGTGTGTGTGTATGTGTGTGTCTATTGTAAATGGGATTGTGTTCTTGACTTGTTTCTCAGGCTGAATGTTATTGGTGTATAGATATGCTACCGATTTTTACACATTGATTTTGTATCCTGGAATTTTGCTGAAGTTGTTATCAGTTCCAGAAGCCTTTTTGTGGAGTCTTTAGGGTTTTCAAGGTATAGAATTATATTGTCCATTAAGATAGATCTTTGACTTCTTCGTTTCATATCTGGATGCCTTTTATTTCTTTCTCTTGCCTAGGTGCTCTGGCTAGGACTTCCAGAACTATGTTGAATGGCAGTGGTTAGAGTGAGCATCCTTGTCTTGTTCCAGTTCTCAAGGGGAATGCTTCCAACTTTTGCCCATTCAGTATGATTTTGGCTATGGATCTGTCATAGATGGCTCTTATTATTTTAAGGCATGTTCCAATGGGAACTTTCTAATGTGTTTTAATATCCAAGAGAGCAAACACCTCTTCTGTACTTTTTCAAACTTTATCATTTTACCCAGATAAAGCTTATAATTATAAGATTTCTTCCATTCTCCCCTTCTAAAGAAAATCAGTGGCATTTTTATCAATTTATCTTAAAATTAAAAATTAATCTAGAAATACTTAATATCTTATCAATATTCAGTATTTCCTTATCCAGTTTGAAGTCAAGTATTTTATTATAACTGAGTTGTGATATGTGCTCCTCTTCAGATAAATTTATTCCTATTTCTTCTCATGGCTGTTTGGTATTTTTGTAATCGTTATGAGTTGCATAGCCTTGTAATTCTATTTGCTAATTTATTGCATCTCCTATGTTTTTAACATTCCTTCACATATACTTTTATATTTCAATATCATAGTTTCATTCTTAGGGTTGTTTGTTTGTTTGTTTGTTTGTTTTTGACAGAGTTTGGCTCTGTCACCCAGGCTGGAGTGCAGTGGTGCGATCTTGGCTCACAGCAACCTCCGCCTCCCAAGTTCAAGTGATTCTTCTGCCTCAGCCTCCCGAGTAGCTGGGACTAATTTTAGTAGAGACGGGGTTTCACCATGTTAGCCAGGATGGTCTCAATCTCCTGATCTTGTGATCTACCTGCCTCAGCCTCCCAAAGTGCTGGGATTACAGGCGTGAGCCACTGCGCCCGACCAGCCCCATTCTTAGGGTTTTTAAGTGACATTAAATATAATGATTATTGTGTCTGCCCCCTTCCAAGAATCTTGCCTCATTTTTGTTTTCCATCTTGTTGCACGGGCCAGAAATTTCAGAACCATGTTCAGCTGTGCTTAGGGAAGGCAGGTGTTTGGGTCCTGATCTGATTTCCGGGGAAGGCCTCTAACGTGCCACCCTTAGGAATGATGCTCACTTTTGGTTTCATATAGAAAGAAATTCACATCATCAAGAATGCAGCCTCCTATTCTAAAGGGGTTTCAAAAATTCAGAATTGGTGTTTAATTTTACTAAATGTCTTTTCAGCCTCCATAGAGACTGATGCTTTATTTCCTTATTTAGACTATTGATATGGTACAGTATTGATGATCAAAGAACTTTTGCAGTCTTGGAATAAATCCTTTTGTTAGATTTTTTCTGGGAGCTCTCATACATCGTCCTCTGTTGAGACTTTTGTTGGTAAAAGTTCTGTAATGAAGTGATCCTCTCCTGTGAGGGTGGGTGGAAATTGATGAGATGGGGAAGAAGGGGACTTTCTGGGGTGTGGCAATGTGCTATGTCTTGAACATAGGATGATTACACAGGTGTATACAGTAGTCAAAGCTGGACAGAACACTTATGAAGTGAGCATTTACTACCTGTCACGTATGTCTCAATGAGTCACCAGCACACAGAGCCCAAGAGCTATGCAGGACCAGAGGTTTGTCTCCATCTCCATGGAGACCCGAGAGGGGAAGCGCTGCAGGTCTCTTGCTGGCTGGTGGTTGGGGTCAGTACTGGACTGCAGGACTCCTGACTCTGACCAGAGCATTCCTCACTGTGTGTTACAGGAACAGGCAGAAGCTGAAATGTGTCAGAGGAGGAGGCTGCTGGTTCCAGTGAATGGTGCTGACCCCACTGAGAGTGTTTCGTGCCTAGAGATGCAGAAGGAATGGAGGCAGTAGGGATGATGTCCTAACTGCTGCCCCCATAGCTGAGAGGGCTCTTCTGGAGCATTCCCTGCTGGAAGTAGGGGGTCCTATGCCAATCCTGTGCTGATTGTCTCTGGAGCATCAAGACCCTGAATTCCTCTCTTCTTCTTCAGTCAACACCTTGCTGGAGGCCTCACACACTGAAAGACATGCAAAGGAAATAATTCAGGACCAACTGGTGGGTTCCAAAAAGTTCTTCTGTGAAGAAGGTGATGCAGGCTCTGCTGCATCCTGCGTATGAAAGAATCTCTTCAGGAAACTAGAGCTTCCTTCGTTTACCTTTTCTCCTACAAAGAGAAGCAGCCTGGAAGAAACAGTCTGGTACTTGACCCATGCCTCAGTTAACTCTACCATCCAATATGGTGCAGCTTACCAAAGGTCCTAGAACTTTGTCAATGCACTTGGAGTAATTTTTACGAAATATTCTGTGTGATAATCAAACTGTGGAAATTTATATAAGATGTTGGTGGCATAGAGTTATATGATTGTGTATTAAGGGTGGTTTTAGGATGTCATTTTTTTTCAGTTCATCATGAGAGAAGTCCTTTTTATGAGAGAAGTCCTCATGAGAAAAAAGCTTTCTTATATTGTAAGTCCCATCTATACTGGTATGTGCATTTAATGACATTTAACTACAGATGGTGTAATACCACAGTGGTTTGACTTAGAGTTTTTTAACTTTATAACTGGTTTATCTGGGTATTACATGCATTTTAAATGTGGCTCTTTCAACTTACGATGAGATTATCAAGACATAGCCCCATGCTAAGTCATGAGCATGTGGACTTACGATGGTTCAATTTAGATTTTTCGGCTTTAAGATAGGATTATTGGGGCTTACCTCTATCTTACATAGAGAAACATCTGTATTGCCTAAAACTATATGATGTACATCTTTCTGTTTTCCTATTTTTGTGCATGTTGATGTAAGCATGGAAAAATTTTAGGAAATGCATTTGTTAGGCTGTTTACATGGGCTGCCTGGTGCAAATCAGCAGTCAAAAATGACTAGATATATGACTAGCAATGAGGGGAGAAATCCTCCCTCTGTGGGAGGCACTGACTGTGTTCCAGTTCTCCCTCCTCCTCCCTCAGAGTGGACCAGGGTTTGATGGCTGGCAACTTTTCAAGGGGCCGGTCTGTCTTAGTTGATGATTTTAGAGGTATATAGAGGTATTTATTTACAAATAAACAATATTTAGAAATAAATAAATATTTATATTTATTTATAAATAAACACTTATTTATAAGTAGACATTTACATATGCCCAGGATTTTGAAGAGCGTGGTATCTATGGGAAGCCATGTGTCTGGTTTGTCCTGCTGGGACAGTCATGGAACTGCATCTTCCTACGTGTCCACAGCAGATGAGGACAGTGAGAACTCAGTTAGATCTGAGACTGTGAAGAGTTTCTCTTTCAAGCGCCATTGCCGTTGAACATTAGTGAACCTTGGGCCTCCTTTGGGCTCAGGGCAGAGCGAGTGTTCATCTGCCCCAGTATCTGCCATGGCATCAAGAGGGAAGAGTGGACAGTGCTTGGGAATGGTGTGAAATGGTTGCCGACTCAGGAGTGGAGGGGCCCCTCTCGCTTCTGGTGGTCTGTGACCCCAAGTCCCTGGGCTGCATTTTATGGTAGAGATTCCTGAGCTGCATTTTAGGGTACAGATTCCCTATTTGAGGAGCTTGGCTTCTCTGTAAGCATCTGATTCATCTCAGAAATATCAATTCTTAAACACTGTGACAACAGGACCTAGAATGGCCGACACATTAAGGCTTTGCCCTCATGTCACATTCTATTATTTTATTTAAAAACTTCAGTAATCATTTGGCTGGGCGCGGTGGCTCACACTTGTAATCCCAGCACTTTGGGATGTCGAGGCGGGCGGATCACAAGGTCAGGAGATCAAGACCATCCTGGCTAACACAGTGAAACCCCATCTCTACTAAAAAAACAAAAAAAAAAAAAAAAAAAAAAGTAGCCAGGCATGGTGGCGGGCGCCTGTAGTCCCAGCTACTTGGGACGCTGAGGCAGGAGACTGGTGTGAACCCAGGAGGCGGAGCTTGCAGTGAGCCGAGATCACATCACTGCACTCCAGCCTGGGTGACAGAGCCAGACTCTGTCTCAAAACAAAACAAAACAAATCTTCAGTAATCATTTTAGCCTCTTTCCAACAAACTCTTCTCCATAGTAGTCCAGTTGTGGTAGAATAAATTACAGACGTAGTCGTTCAAGGAATTTTGGTCTTTTCCATCTAAAGGCATTGTGTGTTGTCTTGTTCCGGGACTGGTTTGACTGAGACAAAGTTAGAATTGCCTGAAGATTTAGGCACATTCAGAGTGTTATATCCGTGGAGTTTGAGGAGGGGGTGGCCTTTCTGGTCTTCGCACTTCCGTCCTCTCCCACTTCCATCTGGCATCCCACGTGTTGTCCCCTGCACATCTGGAAGACACAAGGTGCTGCTGCCTCCTGGTCTTTGCTTTTGCAGGGCCTTCTGTGCAGGACGCTCGACCTCAAAGCCCAGAGGAAGCCAGTCCAGCTCCAGCCCCCTTGTCCCTTCCGCAGAGGCCTTCCTTGAAGATGCATCTCGAGTGTCAGCCGTATCAGTGTTTGTTAAGCTTATTCTTTTAAAGTAAGCTTCCTGACAACATGAAATTGTTGAGGTTTTCTGGAGTTGTTTGGTTTGTATAGGATTTGCTTTACCCCCAGGCCAAACAGCACATGACACACGACAGCCATTTAACAGTGTGTCACTGGTGATTAGTGTCCTTTGATGCTTCTGCCCCATGGAACCTATTTGAAGACCATGTTGTAATATCAAACAATACAAGGAAGCACGTCATACAGAAAATGCTCATATGTTTATGAATTTTGACCAAAATAAACATGAAATCTTATATTAAAAGATGTACTTTTTTTGTTTTCTCCCTGTTCTCCCCTCCTCCTGTGAATCGGATCTGAGTGACAGGAGGCCAGGGCTGTGCTCCTGCTGAACGCCTTCCTTCCTTCCTCCCCTCTCTGCCTTCACGCTTGGCCTACTGGGGGTGTTTCCTGCAACTGATTCCCCGGAGTTTAAAGTACCAGGTTCCCGGGGACCGGAATTCATACTTCCTTCCCCCACTCTCTCTTCTGCCTGCCCCTCCCTCTGGGGACAGGGACACCAGTGCTCGCCTGGCTCACCCACAGCCTCTCAGGAGGGTTCTCTGGGCAGCCGGGTTCCTGCATCCGGCTCTGATAGCTGTCGGGGAAGAGTCAGTGGGTCCCTGAGAGGCGACCCGCCCTTGTCGCTGGGGGAGTCCCGTGGACACTTTCCTGCGGCTTCCTCTAGCCCTGGGCTAACCTTCACTTTCTCTGCCCCGGCCTTCCCTGCATCCCCATAAGTGTACCCAGGTTGCTCAGCCCTGCAGGAACCTGACAGACACATATCCCGCTCCCCTTGCCCTGGAGAACCCGCTCTCCTTCTCGCCCACAGCTCTCAAGAAGCCCAGGCGTGCCCAGACGTTGTCAGCCTTCCCCAGAGCGGGGGAGGGGCTGCTCCGGGGCTTCCCCCTGCCCTGCCCGTGGGCTTCTGGGCCTCGCTTGGAGCCCTGGGCTGGGCTGAGCTGCAGGGAGGCTGAGCAGCCTGTAGAGGGCAGCACACGCGCGGCTTCCCAGCCAGCCGCCCTGGAGGACGTCGAGGGGAGGCAGCCACGGTCCTAGAAGGGCCTGGGCTTGGACAACATGGCTTCCCCAGGGTTAGAGCCACTTGTCTTCCCACGGCCTGCTCTCTCCTGATGACCAGGAGTTATCAAAGAACAGCCTCTGAGCTGCGTGGAGAAAGCCATGGAGACAGCCAGGTGAGTTGGGAGTCAGTTCAGAAAGTGCAGAGGGTCCCACAACAGGCCCAGAACCCAATGGGGGAACCCGGAGAGCCCTCTGCGTGGGCGAACCTACTGCTCCATCGCCCACCCACCTCCAGTCCACAGAGAGCATAGGTCACCAGAGAATCTACCTCAAAGAGGGATTGAAAACCCGCCCGGGGAGTATGGATGGACATACAGAGGCAGAAAGCAAAATGGGTGAGAACCCCAGGGAGGGAGAGAGAGTGGCTACAGCGGGCGCTCAGAGAAGGAAGGAGGCTGCCTAGGCTGTGCTTGTCATGGGAGCAGGTCCCAGGGCGGCCACTTCTGCATCTGTGGAAAGCACAGGGCCTGGGGTAGGGAACCTCTGTTTACACCCAGCTTAGCCTCATTCCCTGAGGCTGGAACAGAGGTAGGTAGGGGCAAACAGACCCTGAGCAAGAAGCGAACCCGAAGACAGAGCAACCCTGCCCAGAACTGGGGCCTGTGAGGGTATGAACCCAAAATACCTGAGACAGGTCTCAATCAAGTTAGAAAGTTTATTTTGCCAAGGTTAAGCAAGCGGCCATGACACAGCCTTAAGCTGTCCTGACGACATGTGCCCAAGGTGGTTGGTGTCAGCTTCCTTTTGTATATTTTAGGGAGACATGAGACATGAATCAATATGTGTAATGTACATTGACATGGTCCAGAAGGGCGGGACAACTGGAAGTGGAGGCTTCCAGATCATAGGTAGATAAGAGACACAAGGTTGCATTCTTTTGGTCTTCGATCAGCCTTTCACTGAATACACAACATATATGTAGGCTATATGGGTAGAGGTAGAGGAATAGTCACTTATGCCTTTGGCTCAGTGAACTTGCATTTTTTTTTCTTTCTTTCTTTTTTTTTTTTTTTTTTTTGAGGCGGAGTCTCTCTCTGTCGCCCAGGCTGGAGTGCAGTGGCGTGATGTCGGTTGACTGCAAGCTCCGCCTCCCGGGTTCACGCCATTCTCCTGCCTCAGCCTCCCAAGTGAACTTGCATTTTTACATAAACAATAGAGCGGAGGAAGCAGGCAGATATGCAATCTCAGGTGAGCAGAGGGATGACTTTCTGTCCCACACCTGTGAAGATCGGCTATCAATGTACATTGCCAGGGTGAAACTCAGCAGAACTGTTTTAGGGTAAGGATCTTGAGGCCCACAAAGAATTTCCTTGTGGGCAAATTGGGAGGGAGCTATGTAGCTTTTCTATCCTTGTAGCTATCTTATGTAGGAGTAAAGTGGGAGGCAGGTTTGCCTGACACAGTTCCCAGCTTGACTTTTCCCTTTGGCTTAGTGGTTTTGGAGTCCTGGTGTTATTTTCTTTTTAGAAGAGATTAAATGAGATTTTGTGCAATGCACTGCACACCACTTTCCCTATAGACAGAGAGGACCCGGAATTTGAGTCTGTGTTTTTTACAGCCTCATTTAAAAAACATGAAAAGAAACAGATGACTTTCACTGATATTCATTCATCTATTTCACCTGAGACCCTTCAGCTTTTAGGTGTCTGTGAAAGACAATGGAGAATCTCCTTAGAATCGGGAGTCCTGGATTCCAACCATGACCCTGAGAAGCAGCCAGCTGTAGGACCTGGCACAGGTCACCTCCCCTCCATGGAAATGAAGATAAACCTCCCATCCTGTAGAGTTCATCGATTCTCTGTGCCTGTTTGCTCACTGAGGCATAAGTTACATGCAGTAAAAAAAGAAAAAAAAAAAAAAAAAAAAAACAGGGTCTCACTGTGTCACTTAGGATGGAGTGCAGTGGTGCGATCTCAACTCATTGCAACCTTGGTCTTCTGAGCTCAAGCGATCCTCCAACCTCAGCCTCCTGAGTAGCTGGGACTAGGTGCACACCACCACACCTGACTAATTTTTGGTGGATATGGGGTTTCCTCATGTTGCCCAGACTGGTCTTGAACTCCTGAGCTCAAGTGATCTGCCCACCTCAGCCTCCCAAAGTACTGGGATTATAGACGTGAACCACTGCACCTGGCCTCAACTGTTCACTTCTTGTTTCATTTCATCTATGACAACTGTATACTCACATGTAACCATTATGCAATCAAGACACAGGAAATTTCCACCACCCCCAGAAAGTCCTTTTCTGCCCCTTTTAGGCAATTTCCACCACGTAGACAAGAGACAGCTACTTCCTCACTGGCTTTTGGGAGACTAACGACTTTCATATATCTGAGGGTACTTAGGAAAATCTCAAGTAAAAACTTATTCCAAGAATGTAAATGTGTTCAAAAATAAGGTACCATAACAATAGTATCAATAAACAAACATACAGTCTCAATGGAGGCTGAAAAGGCATTTAGGATAATCAGACACCTATTCTGGCTTTTAGAACGGAACAGGAGGACACTTCACAATGATGAGAATTTCTGTAAGAAAACAAGAGCCAATTAATGGTGAAAGGCCTAAGTTTTCTCAATGAAATCAAATCAAGATCAAAATGCCTGCCTTTTCTAAACACCCTTCAACTTTGTCCTGAGAGTTCCGACCTATGCAACATGACATAGAACAAAAACAGAGGCAGGTCTCCTGAAAGGGAGAAGAAAAAAAAAATCATGATATTAGGTATGATTGCATACTTAAAAATTGTAAGTTATAACAATAGTAATTTAACACATGTATATGTGGATGAATGTGCACAAAATATAGCAGATAACCCTTTGGAAATGTATTTACAAGAGCATTCATTTCATAAGGGTTACAGAACACATAATATACAAAGAAACAGCCTTAGTAAGAAATAGAAATAATCGGGGTGGAGTGGGGGGGAGAGAGCATTATGAAAAACAGCACATTTTATTACAATTGTTTTACTATTTCCCTACTAATGTGGGAAGTCCCTTAGAGCAGGTACTGCATATTTTAATCTTGGCATACATTTTGCCTGGTACATAATCAATTCTCACTAAGTACTTGTAAAATCATTGTATGCAGGAGGTAATAAACATTTTCTGTTATTGTTACTCCTCGTTAGATAACTCGTTCCTGGCTGGGCACGGTAGTTCATGCCTATAATCCCAGCACTTTGGGAGGCCGAGGCAAGTGGATTGCTTGAGTTCAGGAGTTCAAGACTAGCCTGGGCGATACAACAAAATATTGTTCCTACAAAAAAATGCAAAAATTAGCTAGGTGTGGTGGCCTGTGCCTGTAATTCTAGCTACTCAGGAGGGTGAGGTGGGAGGATCTCTTGAGCCCAGGAGGTTGAGGCTGCAATGAACCATGATTGTACCACTACACTCCAGCCTGGGCAACACAGTGAGATCCTGTCTCAAAAAAACAAAAACAAAAAAACCTCATTCTTCTAGGTAGAGTTTCTGCCTTCACAGCGGTTTTTAATGCTGATTCATAATAGAATCTCTTTTAGGGAGCTGTGAAATATATGCTGGGTCTACAGAAAAGATTGTTGACATGAGTGGAAGATAAGGCATTTCAGCATACATATGATAACTATAAAAGAAGAGCCAAATGGAAATTTTAGAACTGAAAATTCCACTCTCTGAAATGAAAGATATATTTGGATTTTCTTAAGAGAGATTGAACAGGGCTGGGTGCAGTGGCTCACGCCTGTAATCCCAGCACTTTGAGAGACTGAGGACGGGTGGATCACCTGAGGTCAGGAGTTCAAGACCAGCCTTGCCAACATGGCGAAACCCCATCTCTACTAAAAATACAAAAAATTAGCCGGGTGTGGTGGCAGATGCCTGTAATCACAGCTACTCGGGAGCCTGAGGCAGGAGAATCGCCTGAACCCAGGAGGTGGAGGTTGCACTGAGCCAAGATCATGCCACTGCACTCCAGCCTGGGCAACAAGAGCAAACACTCCGTTTCAAAAAAAAAAAAAAGAGAGAGAGAGAGAGCAATTGAATATTACAGAAGAATGAGTGAACTTGAAAAGAGATCAGTGGAAACTATTCCATCTGAAGTACAAGGGAAAATGGGACTATAAGAAAACAAGGAAGCGAGTCTCAGTGACCTGTAGTAGAATATCACGCACTACACATGGAACCAGGGATCGAGAAGAAATGGCTGGAAAAGATGAGGAAAAAAAGTGGTTGATCTATTCTCAAGTGTGGTGAGAGAAACATCAACTTACAGATTCAAAAAGCTCATAAGCCCCTCAGAAAAATAAATGTAAAGAAAACCCTACCTGGATACATCATAGTCAATCATATAGAGTAAATTTTATGCATTCACGGGGAACAGATATGAATGACAGCTGACTCAAAACAACGGAGGCTCAGGATGTGTGAAGTGGCGAAAGAAAGCTATGGACTTGTTATTCACACCCAGTGAAAATATCCTTTAAAAACAAAGGAGAAAGGAATAAGTTGTGAGAGATTGTATTTTCCAAATTTGGCCACAACAATAAATGTAACCAGAATAAACAAACCAATTAAAAGGAAGTTTCCCCAACTGGAAAAAAAAGCAAGCTGAAATTATAAACTATCTAAAATATATGCACCTTAAATATAAAGCTTCAGATAGATTGAAAGTAAAAGATGGGGAAAGATATAAAACACAACTATTAAGCATGAGAAAGCTAGTGTGACTTTCTTAATGTCAAAGAAGGTAGATTCAAGATAGGGCATATTAGCAAAGATAAGGAGGGATGTATAATGATAAGAAGGTCAATTCATCAGAGTGATGTAACACTAAAAAAATGTATGCACCTAATATGAATGCAAAGAGGGGAACAACAGACACTGGAGCCTACTTAAGGGTAGAAAGTGGGAGGAGGGAGAGTATCAGAAAAAATAACTATTAGGTACTTAGGCTTAGTACCTGGGTGATGAAATAATCTGTACAACAAACCCCCATGACTCAAGTTTACCTGTATGATAAACTTGCACAGGTACCCCTGAACCTAAACTAAAAGTTTAAAAACATATTAAAAATATGCGTGTACCTAATAACAGAGCTTCAAAGATTTGCAGCAGAAATGGACAGAATTAGTGAGAGAAATAAATGCATGATCATAGCTAGAGATTTTTAACATCCCTTGCTGAACAACTGATAGAATTAGTAAAAAAAAAAAAATCAACAAAGTCATAATCTGAAACAATTATCAACCACCTTGAGCTAGTAAACATTTATAGAGTACTATACTCAACAACTGTAGAATGTTGATTCGTTTTGAGTGCATATGTTCACTAAGGTAGACTCTATTCTGGACCTTAAAAACATTCCTGATACATTTAAAAGAATTGAAATTGTACAGAATATATTATTTAGGTTGCAGAGGAATTGAATTAGAGCAGCAAGAATAAGATATATAGAAAAGACTTTCATATTTGCAATTTAAGCAACCATGGGCCAGAGAAGAAACCTTGTGGAAATCAGAAATATTTCGAACTAAATGATAATGCAAAATATCAAAATTTATAAGATGTAACTACAGAACAGAGATTATGAGTACTTATATTAGTAAAGAAAAAAAAAGATAGAAAACAATGATCCAGGTTTCCACTTAAAAACTGGAGAAAGAAGAGCAATATAAACCCAGAATAAGTATAAGAAAGGCATGGCCGGGCGCAGTGGCTCACGCCTGTAATCCCAGCACTTTGGGAGGCCGAGGCGGGCGGATCACAAGGTCAGAAGATTGAGACCATCCTGGCTAACACGGTGAAACCCCATCTCTACTAAAAATACAAAAAATTAGCCGGGCGTGGTGGTGGGTGCCTGCAGTCTCAGCTACTCAGGAGGCTGAGGCAGGAGAATGGCATGAACCCGGGAGGCGGAGCTTGCAGTGAGGTGAGATGCACCACTGCACTCCAGCCTGGATAACAGAGCAAGACTCCGTCTCAAAAAAAAAAAATAGAAAAAAAAAAAAAAAAAAAAAGCAATAATCAGGAGAGGAAATCTATAGAATAGGAAACAGGAAAACTCTGAAAACAATAAAGACAATTAACACAGCATAGCTATTTGAAAAGAATAGTAACATTTATAAATCTGTGTTTCAGAAGAAAACTGTAGGATTAGATTAACCTGTGATTCCTGGGTGGCCACAAGGTCACCCATGGTGTGGAGCTGCCCACAACGCCCCTTCTCAGCATGAAGCGTCCTGAAAGATCCAGGGCCAGGTTCCTTAGGATTGGGGAGTTGATAAGTAGAAACGAGAACTGAAACCAGCCCAAATGTCCCATAGAGCTGATGTTTATGGTTTCTTTGAAAAAACATAGAAATTTATCCTCCCGGTGTTAAAACTTGAAAAAGTTATGTTTGGTTTAACTGAGTTCCTTTACCAGGAAACCCACCATCAAGTTTCCCAGACAGTATCAAGGAGCTGAAACTTCCTGAGATCATTGCATCTAAACAGTGAGATGCCAGGCCCCTCACCACCGTAATTGCCTAACCAACCACATGCTTCCTGTTGACCAGCCTCTCTTCCTTACCTGTTCTCTAATTCCTGTTTTCCTATGTATGGTTACATTCCTTACCCCTCTCTGTAGTTCCTGTTTTCTCACACATGTTTACTTTCCTTGCCCCTCTCTAATTCCTGTTTTCCTACACATGGTTACATTTCTTCCCTGCTATATACACCTTTAATTTTCCCTGGGAATACTCGTCTCAGCGATTGGCCATCTGTGCATCAAGCAGCAGGACCTAGACGGAAACTCTGGTGTTTCAGTAATAACAGCTTACCTATGGACAGTTTTCATGCCTGTGGCCCTATGGGTTGCTCAGAAAGTTCACCACAACAACTAATATAAACTACATACCAGGAAATTCATCAAAATTGCTACTACTTTTTGTCATTCCTCCATCTAAAGATGCTTCAAGCCCAACATCTAGAAATCTCAACTGACTGTCCTCTGGACTCAAAAACTGGGCTTGTATAATTTGCTCCAACCACTAACCTTTACTTTTCTTTCCGTAAACATGCCTCTTATTAAATACCTGACTGACCACACCATATAGAGGCCTAACCGAGATGAAAGAACACCTATAACATCACCTCCTGAAATGAGATACAACTGCCTAACTGGATAAAACTCTTCTCATGACTAACAGACTTACTCAATAAGATATGGGGCAATGTATTTAGACTTACGTCCTGCCTGTTCCAATTTATGTTCCTGTTTTCCTTTATAGGTCTCGTGCCACTCAGTTACTAATCTGATTCTTCTCTCCACAGCCATCCACTCGACTTTTAATACATGAAACTTCTCGGGAAGTTCCAGACGAGGAAAATGAAGGGGTTAAAATATGCTATTTTAGCATATTGACTATTTAAGTTAAAGATACTTGAAAAACAGCAAGTGTGAAAAGATCACTCCCCTGAAATGGAACTTTTCCCATTTCATAAAGACACCAGCTACTGGGTTTAGGGCCCAAACTTATCCAATATGACCTCTTCTTAAGCAATTATATCTGCAAAGAACCCGTTTCTGAATAAGATCACATTCCCAGGTACCAGAGGGTAGGGCTTCAAAATATGCTTCGGGCGGACACATTCAACCCATAAAAGCATACCAAAAAAATACGGTCTACGTACAGGGAAAGAAGAAATTGACAGATACCTCGGGAAGCTCAGACATTGGACTTTTTGGGCAAATGCTTTAAATCAACAATTTTAAATATGCTCAAATATTTAAAGGAAGCGTGTATGTGTGTGTGTGTGTATTCTAGAAGACTGCGGAGGATTAAAACAGTAGCTCGCAGCCTATGGCTTCCAGGGTGAGGCTGAGGAACCCATGGGCAAGGGCTGGAGGGAAATATTCTAGGGAAACCCAGAGTAGCACCTACACCTTTCCTTTGGGGAAACATCGATGCATCTATACATATGTATACTTACCTGTATGAACATATAGAGAGTATCTATAAGGAGATAAGAATTATTAAAAGGTCCCCAGTGGAGATCCTGGGGCCAAAAAAATTAAAGTAGCTAAAGTAAACAATACAGCAGAGGGATTCCACAGCAGATTTGATCAGGCAGAAGAAAGAATCCGCTAATTTGAAGGCAGGAGAAAAGAACAGGTCAGACAGACTCTGCGGTGTGCACGGAGGGCAGGAACTACTTCACAAAGGCAGATCTTCCCTTGCTTGTCTTTTCTCACACTAGAGAAAGCAGTAGATGATCCTGTCTTTGAAGAGTGTGTTGTTAACATCAAGCATAAGAAGAAGGCAATTAGGGGTGAAATCCTGAGGTATGTATGAGTTAATGACTAAATTATGGAAACTTACATTAAAAAAGTATAGAGGCTTTGTTTGTTTGTGTTTTTGCCCCTGTCCTCGCATTCTCCTCCGAAACAGCTCTGAGTAAACACAGGCTGTGTTCTTGCTGTGACTCGCACCTCCCTGCCTTCTCTTCCTTCAGACTTGCTGAAGTGGGTGGGGGTTTGTTTCCTGCCTCTGACTCCCTAGAATTTAAAGTGACAGAGTCTTGGGGACTGGAATCCAGCACCTCCTTCTGCCCCTCCCTGTGGGGACAGGGACACAGCACTGGTGTGACTCACCCACAGCCTCCCCCGGGGTTCTCTGGCTGCACCTGGGGCTACTGAGTGCTGCAGTCCAACTCTGATGGAGCTGTCAGGGAAGGGGCAGTGGGTCCCTGAGTGGTGAACTGGTCCTGGTTGCTGGGGAGGTCCTGGTTCTGGGGAAGTCCCATGGTCCCTCTCTTGTGGCTTCCTCCAACCCTGGGCGGGCCTCCACTTTTTCTCCTTCAACCCTTCCTGCATCCTCATCAGGGGGCCCACGTGTGCTCAGCCCTGGAAGCACGTGGGAGACCCATTTCCTGCTCCCCTTGCCCTGGAGGACCTGCTCTCCCTCTCGCCCACAGCTCCTGGGAGGCCCAGGCGTGCCCCCGACTGTTCACCTTCCCCAGAGGAGAGGTGAGGCTGCTCTGTGCTCCCCACTGCTTCCCTCCTGCCCTGACCATGAGCTCCTCAGCCTCACTTGGAGCCCTGGGCTGTGAGCTATGGTTTGAATCCTCCACAATCCTCCAGTCACATCTTTCCTCCTCTTAGAGTTGACCATGCTTTTCGTCCTGCTCAATTCTCCCTTTTTTTCCTTCCCTTTTCCTCCAAGACAACACCAGGTAGGGGTCTACGTGTGACCCTTCATTATAGGCGACCTCTGTTCTTCATTTTTCCTGACATTTGGCCTCTACCCCAAGTCCCCCAAAACATACAGTTAATAAAATTCTGTGAGACCCCCTCCAAAGATGAAGAGGATGGTCTGTGTTCTTGAGATGGGCAAAAGTGAGAGTTCAGTGTCATGCTCCACCCAAATACTAGCCCCTCTCCCCAAAACCTCAATCACCATTATGCTGAGGGCAAAGAAGTTCTGAATATTTGTGAATACATCTTTGGCCAGATTTCTAATCACCTTCATTAGGTGGCTTCCTAGAAGAAGTAGAATATCTCACGCACACACAAACACACACACACATATACACACACACACACACAGCTCTGATTCCTACCAACAGTGCATCACTTTAGATCTGACGTCACTGCTCTTTGGTTTTCACTTCTGCTGACTAGGAAATAATTAATTGACCTCGATATGCATTTCTCTGCTTATTGACTTGTGTTTCATGTATTGATGTGTTGTTTGAATTTCTTTGTTCAAGCTGATTTATTTAGGATTTGTGTATTGTCTAGGAAGACAGACTCCATGCTTCCCAAATACGAATAACAAATTTCTAGTCTTTTTAATTTGCCTCTTCTGTTTGTCTTAGATTTTAATGTACAGAAGTTTTAAATTTTAAGTAGTTGAATCTATAGGTACACTTATTTTTTTCATGGTCATAAGCTGAGAAAGTCCTTTGTCAAACATAAAATAAGAGGACTTCTCTAATTTCTTAGGGAGATTTTTATTGAATGATTAGATTTGTAGCATATAGTTGTGTAAAATAAGATGAACTCTAATTTCTTAGGGAGGTTTTATTAAATGATTATATTTGTAGCGTATCATCGTGTAAAGTACATGGACATTATTTTTGATATAGAAAGTGTGGTGTTACCCTTCATTGTTCTGAGTTACTTTCATCTGTCCAACTCCAGTGAGTCACTGATTATTCCCTTTCTCTGAACCTTGCGGTTTATGGTGTTTATGGAAGCTTCATTCCATAGCACGAAGGCATCAATCATTAATCTCGGGTGATTAATCCTCAGGCATTTCCCTGCTCTGAGCGGAGGGGTGTGGTAGTGTTGAAAGTTGCAGTGCTCTGATCACGTGGTTGGTTCCATTGGCAACCGGCCACTCTCATCCAAGAGCCACCTCATCAGTATCAACTCAGGAATGCTGGAAGTCATTTTACGAATAAAAAATAAAGCCCCTCTCACCACAATCACTCGAGAAACTTCAATGTTTTAAAGCTTTGTTCCCAGAGCCAGGAGCAGAGAAAAAATAGATGTTCCTTATTATATCCCAGCCATGAATACCAGGAGAGAGGATCACTGGGGCTGTTTCAGAAGCTGCTTACCATGGGCTCCATGTGCACTCAGGGGAGAGGCCATGGTCAGAAGGAAAAAGAGAGGATGAGGAGTGTGATTGATGGCAAGTGTTTGCTAAGGTGGGAGTAGCTGGACCCTCTCTCTTCTGGTGGTTCCTGAATCAGTTCTAGCACTACATACTGGAGTCTGGATTGGCTGGTTGAGGAACCTGGTCTCTCTGCAATCGTTAGATTTCTGCATAAAAATTTAGCATAAATACCTTGTATAGAAGAAAAGAAAAATTAAAAAATTATATTTAATTATGTTTTGAGGCGTTCATGAAATATTTGAAGAAATTACACCACCGCCACCCATACTGACATCAGCTAACCCCTGGAAACTAATGGAGGAATGTGTTAGGAAAAAATATTCTGCCAGGGATCCATCTGATATTGGCCTGACCGCCTGAGCTCAGACATTGGTCCCACTCATTAACAGATCTAAGAAACATGAGGTACCAGCCCTATACCGAAAACCCTGAGTTCTATGGGCTCAGACAAAAAGGCAAAGTTCTAGCTGAGAGAATATTAACAAATTCAGTGAGCAATATGTTCATAGTTCAAGACACTTCTGTGAACAGATGTGTGGATTTTCTTCACCCTGATCAATTCTCCCACACCAGATGAGTGCCCATAATTCAATTCACTTCTGACACTAATCAGAGGTAGTGCCGACCCCACAGGGTAAAGATTCAGTCCCACAAGACTCCCCCCACTTCAGGGGCAAATCACAAGTAGAGAGTCTGTGTCCCCATCCATATTTCATCTTGAATTGGCTCTGTGTCCCACCAAAATCTCCTTTCGAATTGTAATCCCCCTGGGTCAGGGGAGGGACCTGGTAGGAGATGTCTGGATCATGGGGGTGGTTCCCTCATGCTGTTCTCATGATAATGAGTATGTTCTCTGATGGTTTTATAAGGGTTTGGCAGTTCCGCCTTCACTCTCTTCTCTCCCTCCTGCCACCTTGTGAAGAAGGTGCCTGCTTCCCCATCGCCTTCCACCATGATTGTGAGTGTCCTGAGGCCTCCCCAGCCGTGGTGAACTGTGAGTCAATTAAACCTCTTTCCTTTATAAATTACCCAGTCTCAGGCATCTCTTTATAGCAGAGTGAAAACGGACTACAACAGGGTCCCTAAGTCATCCACACCTTGTGTCTGACTTGGCTACTGATATACAATAGTGTTTGGTGACCCTAAATGTCTAAAAATGGAGTAACTTATGACAGGTGATCAGCCCACAGTGAAATTGCTGACCCCTCAGAGTGAGAAGCGTATGTGTGGTGGACTGAGATGATGAGAGGACCTGCTGTGGACAGGCACCCCCTAGACCAGACAAGAAAGTGAAGCCAGAAGGCAGCTGAGATCTTGGCTACAGACAAGCCTGCAGAGGGCCATAAAAACCACGAAGACTCTGACCATAGCCAAGCAGCTGCCGCAGCTCTGTCCGTAAGAACTCTGAGGCCTCTTTCCCATGGGCTATGGAAGAAGAGCAGCGACCCCCACCCTGGTCCATGTTCTGAGGAGACCCGGACCTGCCAGTGTGTCAGTCAGTGTCCTGGTCTCCTGAGGTGCTCACTGTGGTCCCTTCCCCACCGTCTCATCACTGCCTGTATGTGTTGACTATATTTGCATGAGTGTTTATGTGCAAAAGCCACACAATAAAATGTGAATTTGCGGCAGGAAATTAAGGAACCGGAGAGACCGATCAAGGTGCAGGAGAGTTTTTATTTTAGGTGTACACCGGCTCAGCAGACATGTGTCCTGAAAGCCTGAGCACCAGACAAAGAAAGCAGTCACCTTTTAAGCAGTTTGTGGCAGGAGTTATGTGACGCAGGAAGCAGACTTACAGAAGGGAGAATAAAGGCAGTTAATTATCATGTAACGTTCTTTAGCTTACATTTTGGTAAAGCATGTCTTGTAACTTATGCTTATTTACGTTGTGACCTTACAGCTGCACAGTAAGAGAAACAGAAACTACAAGGTATGTGGGAAAGAAATAAGGTTAATGTCTCACAGTCTTTACAGAAAGGCAGTTATTCTTTCTTAGCTCTTACTTTGCGGGGGTGGTCACTAATGCCCATAACAGCTTTACTTTTTCTATTTTCTTCATTTTATAAGAACAATTAATATCTTTTAATTTTTCCACTTCAAATTCATAAGAATTTCATTGGTCATTGAGTCATCGTGAAACCTTCTGGTCCCCCCACAACTAGGCTAACTGGAACCCAACATGAGAGCCACCAACTGGAAGTTGCCATGATCCCTTTCTCAGGTTTCATCATTCACTAGGCTGGCTCACAGAAGCCAGAACACACTTGCTATTTGCCAGTTTATTACAGAGGATATTTTCAATGATATCAATCAACAGCCAGATGAAGAGATACACAGGGTCAGGGTTGTGAGGGTGCCCAGTGCAGGAGCTCTGTCCCCGTGGAATTAGGGCATGCCACCCTCCCGACATGTGGATGGGTACTTGTTCACAAACCCAGAGGCTCTCTGAACTTTGTCCTTTTAAGCTTCTTTGGAGGCTTTATTGCTCAAGCTTGAGTGATTGTATCATTGACCTTTGGTGATCACCTCAACATTCAGCCCCTCTTCTCTCACCAGAGGCTGGGACAGGGGGAGGGCATTTGCAGCTTCCACCAGGTAAGAAAAACCCAAGCAAAACTTCAGCAGGGGCTGAAGGTTCAACCCTCTAATCATAGGCCTGTTCCCGCTCCCAAGGCTGTCCAGGAACCCCTAGCCATCAGTCATCTCACTGGTGTACAAAGATACATTGATCACTTAAGAGATTCCAAGGATCTCAGGAGCTTTGTGTCAGGAAACAGGGGCTGAGATCAAATATGTATCTCTCATTATTTCATGGTTCACAACGAGGTCTCTGGACTCCCTTACAGCAAAACGATATGCAACTCAAAAGGTACTGGTAGGTTATTAGTCCTCCTCAGTCATTGATAATTAGTCCAGTCCATCATCATGTTATATGAAAATGTCTCCTAGGATGAGGCCACTCGGGTTTGCAGGCCTCCATTCCCTCTGTCAGTTCCTAAAAGCAGGACAGGTCTCAGCAAACACGGAGCTCCCCCCTCCCAGATATCTGGATAATTGAGCTAAGAGACAATGTCATCTCCTTCTCAGTATTACTGTAATAGAAGATTTCCCTCATTACATAAACCATATATTCATTCGTTTACTCTCAGCAACTCCTCCTCCTGGTTTTCATTTCTACTCAAACTTTTCTACTTTGGAAATAACTGTGATGGGTTGGCAGCAATACTAGTGTAACAAGTGTGTCCCCTCAGTGCACGTCCATTCATACAGGGCAGGGTTACACAGGTGCAGAACTAGTGGGCTATTTTTCCAATAGGCAATAAATTAGTCCATTGTGTGTTGCTATAAAGGAATATCTGAGGCTGGGTCATTTGTAAAGAAAAGAGGTTTATTTGGCTCACGGTCCTGCAGGCTGCATGAGCATGGCACCTGCATCTGCGCAGCTTCTGGTGAGGGCCTCAGGGAGCCTCCAATCATGGAAGAAGGCAAAGGGGGAGCCAGCACATCACGTGGTGAGAGGGAGCGAGAGAGAGGTGAGAGGTCCCAGACTCCTTTAAACAACCAGCTCTCCAGTGACTAACAGAGTGAGAACTCACTCATTACTGTGGAAAGGGCAGCGAGCCATTCATGAGGGTTCTTCCCCCATGATGCAAACACCTTCACCAGGCCCATACCAACCTCAGGGATCACGTTTCAATATGGCATTCGGAGGGGACACACATCCAAACTATATCAGGCTATGTAGCTGCATTTACTGTTAGCCCCAATTTTGCAGGACTGGTGTCCCATCGGGTCCATAAGAAAACTGACAGAAAAGTCTAAACACACAGTCTGTTCCTGGCTTAGGAGTTGTCACTGCTTCCAGCATTTATAGTTGTAGCCCTGGCCCTGTGGCCAATGTACCAGGTGGCGGATGGGGAGAAGGGGAACGTTGAGGTTACACAGAGAAGAAATACAAAAATGACAGTCACTGGCCGGGCATGGTGGCTCACGCCTGTAATCTTAGCACTTGTGGGAGGCCAAGGCAGGTAGATCACCTGAGGTCAGGAGTTTGAGACCACCCTGACCAACTTGGTGGAACCCGGTCTCCGCTAAAAATATAAAAATTAGCTGGGCGTGATGGCGGGAGGCTAAGGCAGGGGAATCACTTGAACCTGGGAGGTGGAGTTTGCAGTGAGCCAAGATCGTGCCATTGCACTCCAGCCTGGGCAACAGAGCGAGACTGTGTCTCAAAAAAAAAACCACCACCACCACCACCAACAACAACAACAAAATGACAGTCATTATACTAGCACCCTCCCTACCCCCTCATCCCCAGATCCCCTGGAAAAATGGAGGAAAGTCTGGTGGGGACACTCCTTTAGCCCACTCGTGTGGAGTGGCGGCACACACCAGTGAAGGCGGTGAAGCCAGCCCTTCTTGCCTTTATCTCCCCCCATTTTAGACAATCAATGTTTCAGTTGACTGTTCCGCTTCCCTATCAAATTATTACTCTAAGGAGGATATCTCTCTGCCCATTGCAAAACATTATGCGCTGAACGGCATGTTTCTTGGTCCAAGGAAGTGAGGCTTAGTGGTCCAAGCTAGAATAATACCTTATTTCAGTTCTTTTATGTTAATAGCACTCTGGGTATTTGCAGCCTCCACCAGGTAAGCAAAAAACAATCCACAGTCAGTTTCTGTTCCCGTGGAGACTCACCTGTACCCCCCAGGGCACTGCCCTCGGTCTCACTTTCCAAGAATGTTCAGGGCCTCCCCATCAGGGAATCTGCCTTATAGCCATAGGCAGTATGTGTCTCCCGCTGGCAGACAGAACAGCTCTTATTGGCGTTATGCTCTGAGAGACAGCAAGAGGAATGTGTTTCAGTTCAGCCCATCTCTGCATCGCTGTGGTTCCCCCATATCCACTCATTTTATTTAATGGCCTCTGGTGACCACCTCAGGGGAGTACCCGGTGGTATATTTTGCTGATTGCAATGACTTTCCAATCCTGAGGCAGGGTCTACTGAGCAGTATGGATGTGTCCTACTTTAATGCACTCCTCAAGTCCCCCTAGAGATTGCCATAGGGTCAGGGCTCATATGGACATCCCTTCAATAGGTCAGTTTTCCATTACTCTTGGAAACAATGGAGAATGTAGAGAAAAATATCCAAATTTAATACACTTTATTTGGAAAGCAAGAATTGCAATGCTTGGCATACACAAAGACCAACTTGTCTTGGGTATGTCCAAAGACCAAAAAGAGGAGTTTACAGGTTTTTTTAAAGGAGAAGTTCTGGCCGGGCACGGTGGCTCATGCCTGTAATCCCAGCACTTTGGGAGGCCGAGGCAGGTGGATCACGAGGTCAGGAGATCAAGACCATCCTGGCTAACACGGTGAAACCCCATCTCTACTAAAAATACAAAAAAATTAGCCGGGCGCGGTGGTGGGCACATGTAGTCCCAGTTATTCGGGAGGCTGAGGCAGGAGAATGGCGTCAACCCAGGAGGCGGAGCTTACAGTGAGCCGAGATCATGCCACTGCACTCCAGCCTGGGTGACAGAGCGAGACTCCGTCTCAAAAAAAAAAA